CGCCCAGCCCGAGCACCCTGAGGCTCCTGCTAAGCCCGAGCAGCCTGCTCACCCTGAGCAGCCCGAGGCTCCTGCTAAGCCTTACCCTGCTCCTCCTGCTGCCGAGACTGACAGCGGATACAAGGCCCCCGCTCCCAGCCAGCCTTCTGCCACCGTCCCTTACCACCAGCCTACTGGCACCGCTCCCGCCGTCGAGGTCACCGCTGGTGCCTCTCGCTTCGGTGTCGAGATGGCTGTCGCCGCTGCCGGTATCTTTGCCGTTCTCCTGTAAATGCATCATGGAACATAAAATCTTCCTTTGCTGTTTATTCTTTATAACAACATAATAAGCTTCACTATGTATATAGTGTGATTTAGATAACTTCGGCACTTGCCAAGTACATTAGTGGTAGAAGAACGATTACGATTTTGGATACATCATTGTCTCATTTCTCATCATTGTAGATACCATCTCAATAATTTACTCATGACTCTAAACTCATTTCCTCTCGCTTCCGAAGTCAATATGCTTGTCACCCCATTCCACTCATGAACAAGTCAAACTGAACTCGACCCCAGCCTGCTTTGGAGACTAGACGTTATCACGTGCATTATAACTGTTTTTCTTTGTGGTCACAAGCGGTGACTGTTGTAAACTCTATCTCCTCATCACCTTATACAATGTGGAACGGCGCTAGAACAAAGCGGATTCTCGAGGGAGGATGAAACTAGGTGGACCGTTTGATCCAGATCGTTGGAAAACTCTGGGGACACTCGGCAGAGACAAAGTCAAACAGGTGGCTTGTGACGGCAAGCGTTTTTGACTGGAATGCGGGAAGAGGGGGCGTACAGGAGTTCTAGAAGATGGCGTGTTTTGAAGTGGAAGTGTGGCTCTACTTGCGGTGAGTGTATCATTGGTGAAGTGTTACTGTTACAAAGAAAGACATGATTGTGTTGGAAAGGAAGGGTTCGTTTGGACGCGAGTCGTTCAAACAAAGATAGACTCTGTAGTGGTGTGATGTATGTGCATTACGAAGCTTCAGATTAAGCTTGATTGGTCCCCCCAGATAGAAACAAAGGGTAATAAGTAGACCTCCCTCGGATACTTCACATTGTGTCACTCTAGTCTAGCCTATCTACCCTTCGTTATCACGGGTTGTTCTCCCGCAATACCTTGGACAACATCCATTTTCAAGTACGTACCTCGTCGATCATGAGGGTCTGTGTGGTGTCAAGGTTTCAACCCCAGGCTTGAAAGATATGGCGTTATGATCGTTAGGAAATAACAATAGTTTTTGCCTCTGGGGACCAGTTTTTATGTTTACTTTGGGAGAACATCAATATCTGGGGGCAGATGACACAGCTGGGCGCGGCTGTTTCACGAATAAGGCGACATATGCAAGGGCTGATGACATACATGGCTTGGCAGGTGAGAGACGTTATGGATCAGGATGGAGGATGACAAGTCTAGACTCTGTGGCTAGTGGATGTAGATCATTTTTATGTTCGGTATGAGTGATAGCAGCAGTAAGAAGCAGCACTTTGAGACGCATCCATCAGTCTTGATAGTCAAGGTTATAAGAGCTGGCTGTCATGACTCCCAAGTCTCAGCAAGTGGACCCAAGTCCGAGTCAAGTAACGATAGCTAAGACCTCCAATCATAAGAATAACTGGTTATGAGAATGGTTTATTGAATGAATGTTGTCATAAAATGAGGGAGCATAATTGAATATGCGGATAGAACTTGGCATGATGGTGTTGCCGAAAAGCCTTGTGGCGCAATACCAGGCTCTTTTGTGCCTAGAGCCATAAGTTGCACAGCCGTCATGAGAACTGCGCCTCTGTCTCCGTTCCACTCATAACAGGCACACGACCAAAGTCCTTCTCAAAGTGCAATTGAATAATGACGAGAAGAGGCTCTAAGGCTACTTTTCATCATTTCCGTCATATAATTTGATAGTTGTTGTGAGGTTTGGTGTTGATCAACCTGATGCTGAAATGTCCTATGGTCACAGTAGACTCCATGGGCTGTTGCTGTAACCCCACTATAAACCACTATCGTAGACACCCGACCTCCACTGTAACGGCTTCAGCTTTAGTTACCTACCTACAGCTACAGCTCTTGAAGCTCAAAGATTGGATCTACAACTCCATCTTCATCAGCCACAAAGATTAGATCAATTAATCTATCTGCAAGCTAGTTTAGCAACTCACATCACGTCAATGCACCGGAAAGCGGCATCTAAGTTTCCCTATAGACTTGGCTACTCAGATTATCCAGTTACAGCACCTCATGTCTCACTGAACCACCTGTTTTGGCATTTTTCCCAGCAGGCCTCCTGCGAGCCATGGGGCGCAGCAACGGCCCGCAAACAACCATTCCAAACTTGTCAGCTCAGCCTACAACTGAGAGCTCTCTTCACTTTCTTTCTGGTCCGTATGCCAAGGTATTTACTCCCTGGTCCGGCCTGTTCTGGGGGCCAGCCGAATGCACTTTCACCACACTACAGCATATTCACTGCCTCTGGTCGACCAACATCTTGGCCGTTTCACGAGAGGGAGCTGACTTATAAGCTTCCATGTGTCTCCTGTACTTTGGATGATGAAAGCCTTGTGTTATTTTCTGACAGTACGAGGCTGCACTAGCAAGTCATCTTTTGATTGAACAATTTCGATACCTATCGTTGCCTTTTCCCACTATCGTTGTCGCTAGTTAAGTGACAGCGATTTGACACTCAGCTCGATGAACAATAGCGCGACATCTCCCTTTGGGCCAGGCCTTCAAGTGCCTGTATCATCCGCCTCGCCCAGCGGCTCAAACAACACCACAACAGGCAGACCACCACTATGGAACTCATCATCACGACGCAAGATGTCTCGGCTCTATCTTTACACTACACTCCCTTTGGAAAGGATAGTGTCTGTTGTACATGCCAAATCTCCAGATTCTGTACCTGGGTATGTGATTCCCGATTCCTTGTGTTTGGGTTGATGCTCATTATGTGCATAGTATGGATTCGGCACACAAGACTCTTAATGCCATGCTTAACAAGCAACCGCGATGGCTTCACCCCAGAACTGAAGAAGATATGGCGCGGCGACTAGATGAGTTGTCGATCTCACCTATCCGTTCCAATTCAGGCCATGGCACCATTCCATCTCCAACACTGGGTGCTTCAGCGACAGTTCCAGCTCTCGATGCCGTCCCAACCCCCCATCTCATAAGGAATCATACGAGGGCTTCACTCGAGGTGCCGCCTTTCAACCAGTATCCCCGAGTTCAGCAGAATGCTCCAAACAGATCTACCGCTCAAACTCAGGAGCAAGAAGGGAGAAACACTTTCGGGAACTTCTTACAGAGATCAACATTCATGACTACATCGACAGACTGCACGACGGGGACTTTTAAAAGCTTGGTGCAAGACTATGGGCGTCCATATGTCAACACAGTCAAACGGCTTATCAAGAGATATACGGCGCCTCTAAACCGACAAGGATCAGATCTCTCGCCCATCTCGGATGAGGAGCCCAGTATGACCTCTTGGCTCAACGACCGCGACGCACCCATTTCCCTGCCCAACGGGCCTTACTACATGCCTAGCAACTTCTTATGTATCGATCAAGTCGCTTCAAACCAATATACATGTTTCGAAAACGCCGAGGAGCATATGAGAAAAGCATGCTTTTGCCGTCCTATCGAGGAACTCCAAGAGCCGGCCTGGATAACAGTACAAGGTTTTACGCAGATTGGAATTAACGCTGCCTCAGCTGCTGTCAATGATGGCATTTTTGAAGAACGGGACCAATTCGGCCACACTGTCTTCCATCTTATGGCAGCGAGGTTCTTTCACGACGACCTTTTTCAAACAATTCGACTATGCCACAGCACGGATGTCCTCAACGCACAGAACACAGCTGGCCAGACGCTTCTACACGTTCTACACACTTGCTGGTTCCAAAGCGGATCCCTACGAAATCTCCTGGACATACTGGCTCAGAAAGGATTCGACTTTAGTGCCCGCGATCACTATGGTCGTTCGTTTTCGCACCTTCTCCTTATTAACAGCGCCTCAATGGATCTGCGAAAGCATTTGTTCCACCTTTGTGGCCCTACAAATTTCCAGAGGAGAGACGCCTTCGGCATGATGCCTACCGACATAACACCTCCTGAGCATCCCATAAGGATCAACAGGGTGTATACCCAAACCATGGACATTGACCCGCCGATTCATATGTTGCAACGAGAGAGTGCCGACCCTTACCATACAAACGATATACAACAAGAAGCACGGCTACTCCAAAGCATCCGTGCCGCTCAGAACGCTCCTCTATTTGAAGATGAACATGGCCGCAACGGATTTCACTGTCTCGCTGCAGCCACGCTGAGCTCACCCAGCGTTACGCAAAAGTATGGCCTGGATGAGGAGGGCTTGCCAAACCCCCAAAAACGAAGAAGAGACAAGGCCAACAAATACTCGGATTCAAGCGCCGATAAGTTGGAGTTTCGCCGAACAGTGCTACAAAATCTCATGGTAGCCGGCGTTGATCCAAACCACTATGACCTACAAGGCAACACACCACTCATGGCCTTCGCCGCCCAACTTCCGGAAGATGACGACCACATTGTCGGCCTTAAAATCATCAAAGAGCTTATTGAAGCCGGTGCGAACGTCAACGCGCGCAACAGAGCGGGCGAGACAGCACTACATATCGCAGTCCGCTGTGGTCACAAGCTAGCTGTCAAGCAACTTGTCAATAGCGGCGCGAATGTGCACGCTCGTGATGCGGCAGGTCGAAGCGTGCTTGAAGTTGCGGATGTGAAGATGAGGAGTTTGAGGGGCGAAGATGAAGCTGAGTATGCGCACTTGGAGGCTTGTCGGGCGTGGTTAAGCGGTACGCCGGGTGGTGCGGTACAGGAGCCTACGGTGATGCAGGAGTGGGGTATCCGTACGACAGGGCAGAATTAGATGGAGTTTTGATATTTACGATGGGATGATTCATGTTTTTATATAGAGGCTGTGATTTCTTGGCGTCGGGATAGGCGGATACCCAGGTGTTTATGGATAAAATGCAGGGATAGATGGATTTGGCACTTCGATGTAGACCAACACTTCCAAGTGTATGAAGCAATGCAAATAACAGTACAAGAACCTATTTCGAATACAAATTAGAGCCAAGTGACTTGTGATGCAAGGGGTTATATAACCAGCTTTGAACCGCAAAATTGATAAAGGAACCAATCATTTACAATCATCTATATGTCTATAATCCAACACCTCCAGTGCTCGAAAGCAGAACATAGTACCATTTGATTAGTATCCAAACTTCTGTCCAACAAGCTCCTCGCTTAATCTCCAAAGCTTCTCAGCTTCGACGGGGTCCCGCGCCCAAGATTTGATGGTGTCGACATAAGGGTCTGAGACCCTGGCTTCCAGAAGATAAGCGCCGTTGCTTGCTGTGGGTTGTTAGCATTGTGTATTCCTTGTAGTTGTTGTGTTTCTTACCCCTGATGTTTGGATCAAAAGCGGCAAACACGTGCGTAGCTGCGCCGACTTCGACAGGGACGGTGGGAATAAAATTCCAGCCTTCTGAGTTTCCTCTCTCACGGTGGGCTTTAACTTGATGGTTGTAAGCTTGGGGCATGAGGGTAATCTATAAGGTGGATGACTTACTGAAAGCTCCAAGATCAGCATCCATGCTGGCAAAGTCAAGGTGTGTTCCTAAACCAGTTGAAGTGATGAGGCCTGGGTGCACGCTGTAAGACTGTAGACCCTGGCTTCCCAGCTTTTGAGCAAGGGACATAGAGAAGAGGACATTGGCAGTTTTGGCTTGGCCATAGGCAGACCAGTCATTGTAAGTCTCGCCGTTCTGAATTTGTTAGCATGGTTCAAGTTGAAGGGTGGGAGACTGCGTACACTGAAGTGAGTGTCCGCAAATCGGACGGGGCCAAGACTGTGTCCGTTACTTGAGATGTTGACAACCCGAGGCGACTCCGAAGCCAAGATCTTATCCATGATCAAGTTCGTAAGAAGAAAATGCCCAAGATGACAGATGGCAAACTGCTTCTCATATCCATCCTCAGTCTTGGAGTAAGGGATAGCCATAACACCAGCGTTGTTCACAACAACATCAATGCTAGGCACATCTTCCCAGCTGTTGACCTCTTCAGCAGCCTTGCGCACCGAAGTCAAAGAGCCAAGGTCTACAATAAGATTGCGAGTTTTGACGTCGGGATAGTCTTTGGTGATAGCTGAGGCAAGATCTTGGAGCTTTGAGACACTGCGGCCGGCGAGGATGAGAAGACTTGGGGATTTGGAAGCCGTCTCTTGAATGAAGGTGCCACCGAGACTATTGGGTGTTACACCGGTGGTGAGGATGATCTTTCCCTTGATGATGTCTGCATATTCGTTGACGAGGTCGTTGGCGGTGGTTGAAATAGTGTGGGGAGACATTGTAATTAAGTATCAGAGTATATCACTTTAAAGAATTAAAAAAGTGTTATGGTAATGTTTTGAAAGCCGTGTTGAGTGTGTTTATGAATGTGATTGTGATGATGTTGCTGAATAGTTCCTCAAGTGGAAACATGCCACAATATTTATACTATTCGCCATAATGTAAACTCCGAAATGGACTTGAAAGTGAAGCTCGAGATGATCGGGTTTACAGCAGAAAAAAGAGGTGCGGATGTCGCAGTATATCGCAGCTGGCGTCAGCCATATCGGCGTTGTCATGCAGAGTGTGGGGCCGAGTGGGATGGGTACTTACAAGACAAGACCGATCCGATATTGTCTAACAAGACTAAGACTAAGACTGTATAATTATAATTATTCTCTTGTGGGTAGTTCTAACTTCTGAGGGATAGTCTTGACGTTATCTTAAACTCATATAACCCTTTTGCATACCTAGTTAATCGCTACAGCTCTGACTGGGTCGTCCATCGGTGAAGCCATTCACGCGGACATGATAAGATCGGCAGGTGACCACTCAAAGGTCCCCAGTCGCGAACGACACGTTGAAAAATAACTGACAACTGGCACACTGATATTTCAAATCGTCTCTTATTCCTTAGGTACCTATGTAGCTGAGCAAATAACAGCTATACTTTTGGCAGATTGATGTTGGCGGCAGGTGCATCTATCTCGAGCATAGAAAGGGAAGACGAAATAATCTGATCACTTTATGCCAATTTAGACTAGAAGGTAGTAGGTAGGCTACCTTCCATTATTATGGCAGCCTGAGTCTACCCTTTGCGCCTTCTGCTGCGGGCTGTCTGCCGATTGGAAGGCTCCAACCTCAAGCTGCTGCCAGTGCAACTGACCTTCCACCATTTCTACAACTTCACTTTATCAACTTTTCGAGACCATCAATAAGTACTTTACATCTTTCGCTACTACTCGCTTTTTTATTTTCCACGATTCTGCGCTTTATTTTGCTGCATCTCGTTCACTTTTCCCACGTCACTCTCTTGCTCTCTCTCTACCCCTCCTTCATGACCACGAGATACCGATAAGCTCATGGCCCACAGCTATCATGACTGCTCTTAATCTTGATAGCGGAGCCCAAGCGAGCCAAACTCCCATCGTCGACCAGCAGCACGTTTCCTCGCAAACTCTCAAATTTGAGATCCCTGAACACTATCGCGATTTCTTACCCTTTGCCCGCCTGCCACCGGAAATACGAGCGCAGATATGGCAAAATACCCTCGATACCCCGGGAATCCACTTCCTCAAGATCAGCCCCGAAACAGGCACTAGAAGATGGTGGATGAAAGAGTCGTATCATCCGGCTGCCTCTGAAGACGAAGAAACTGATCCTATGACGCTGGAAGTCAAAAACGAAAAGCTTCAGCCTCCCATGCCTCCCATGCAGGCAACATTGGAGCCTCTTTGCCCCACTAAAGCCGATATCTCCCATTATACCACCTTGCACAAGCAGATCGCCAAATTGACTGTCACGTGCAATGAATCTGCCTCTATAGCAAGAAGCCTAGTAAATCGATCAACGGCCTTTCGTTTGCATTCTGGAAGGCTTGTGAGCCTCAACCGGTCAGATGTTATCTACCTAGAATACCTCCCTTGCGATTGCTACGAAAACGAAATCTGCTTCACCAAGGCTCTGAATTGCCCGAGGCTGGATCAGATACGCAAGGTCGCTATGAGGTATTGCCATAAATGGAATGAGCGAAAAGTGCAACAACGATGCCTCCATTGTGGTCAGCTTCACGATATACCCGGCAACCTCACGTATCCGAAGCACCTATACCGATTTCTGGCACAGTATCTTCCTAATTTGGAGGAGTTCTACTTTGTTGACTATTTGATCCTACCGAAGTCTCAAACCGCAGCTGGCGCAGACGCTACGGTAGTGGCACGAGGAACCTCCAAATTCGAGGGTGGAAACAGAAGCTTTTTCGAAGTGGACGACGAGCAAAACTGGAAGATCAGTTCTCGCGTTCTTGATTGCAAGTCTTGGTTACAAGGACAATTTATCAAGTATGCCAAAGCGAGTATACTCAGCAGACACAAGGGACCGGAAGAGGTCAAATTTGGAGTCCTGGCATGCCAGTGGCGCATTGAGCCTCCCGTGGCACCAGTTAATAAAAAGGGCAGAAATAAGAAAAGGCCTCGGACACTGCCCCGGGGACCAAGTCTCCCTATCGCACTGACGTACGAAGTAACAGCCCGTTATCCGTTCGTCTTCGACGCGTGTGGCAGCAACAGATACGAATTCACCTTTTCTATAACCCTATGAGGAATGCGAGCATTGGGCGGGAGTTTGGTATTGTCGTTTAAAAGATTAGAATAGTTTTAGAGAATACACCTACGAATTGCCTACGGCCTAGGCTGCGATGATGAAGTAGTCCAAGTGCTAGGCTGAGCTGACATAAAGTGGCCAAACTATTTCGTCTCTTATGCTTTCTGGGCCCCCAATGGTCCTTAGTAGACCCCCATCATGGTGAGCTCCTCAAGCATGCCTTTGGTGATTCTGTTCAAATCCAACAACTTATTGGGCCGCGTCGTCCAGCCATCTTCAACAGCACCCAGTTCGGAGTTTAGCATATCCTTGTACCGCTGAGACGTCATCAAGCCCGTCCAAGCACTCTTGCTTGACCAGGGGCTAGGGAATCCGATGAGGAGATTAATTTGAGTGATAACATGACGAAGCAACTCAGAGAATAGAACAAATTGAGTCGATGGCTCAAGCAGCGGTACATCGGCAAATGACATGGGAGCTGCATCCATCAGCTCGCGGTGTGTCTCCTGAATAGTGTTGAGATTCATCTTGAGAATAAACTCGAGATGCTGGATGAGCTGCACGTAGCACGATATGATGAGGAACATGGTAGGCGAGTCGAAAACTGGGGGAAGCTGGGGAGCAGCGCTTCCCAATGTAGGCGACTTAGCAGCCGATGAGGGAGAAGGCGATGATGATACAGGAGATGCTGGCGCGTCTGCTGTAAGGGCCTTGATTGCCTTGTGTGTATAGGGCTGCCGGCCGTAGCACGAAACTGTGCGTGTGCCGAGTTGTCGATGCAGTGATTTCAACACAACTAGAAACTCTTGTGCTGTTCTCAATACCATTTGCACATTCTCATATCCGTTCATGGTATTACGGACTTTGCAGATAAAGTCGCTCATATCGAAACTGCTCTTAAACTGCGCCGTGAACTCCCTTCCTCGATGAATTTCGGCATTCAGCTTGGACAAGGTCTCAAACAAATGCTCACCAGGCCTCATAACCGGCTGCTCAATATCCGAGGCATCAAGGCTCTGCACAGCAGGCCAGGCCTCCATGGGAAAAGGCAGACCTTCCGGCGCATATCCGCAGAATGGGTCGAGATTCCACGTTGAGTCGTCTAGTAGGCCTTGAATAAATTGCATGCCATCATCCGCGGGCTCATGAATGACCACTTGTAAGTCTTTCTTAGGAGGACGCCCGACGCGACGCTGTAGGCCGGGCTGACAGGTGAGGTTGAGACGGGAGCAGCGGGCGCATGAGGCGACTGGGCCAACAGGGCGTGAGCAGCGGAGCTTTTGGCGCCGGCAGCGCTCGCAGGCTGAGCGGACTTGATTTGGATGAGTTGAAGGGGCTGTATGCATCTCGATTCATGTGTTTAATGAGTATGTTTATATGTTTGTTTAACGTCAGGTAAGAATGAGTGAGACGGAGTGGTTGGATGTTCTGCGGGGCCCCCGTTCGGAGGCTTTTATGGGTCGTTTTTGTCGGAGGCTTTTTGGACGGGGCCGTGCGGCGATGGAGATGGACGGAACGGGTACGGGAAGATTAATTATGGACCCATCACGGGAGATGGTATGGAAGGTATATTGTCCCCGAAACTGGCATATGATTAGACTACAACGCGTTTTCGTTTCTGTTTAACAAGTAACACAGAGTTGCAGGACGGGAAGCCTTAACTTACATATCCGATGTCACCAAGTCATGGGTGCCAGGCAGATTTATGCTTGAGAAGCAACATGTACTCTCGTCACAAAACTTGGATCATGATGGAGTAATCAACTTGATCACGTTGGACGTCCAGTTGGCTACCTATCCAAGGTAGCTAGTGCCCTCCTCCCTTCCACCTTACTTACTGCTCCTCAGACACTTTACTCCAAGCTTGGCTGACGACCTGCTTGGAGTTTCTTTTACGATGATGCCAATGCTCTGGCAATCTCATCTTTACCGACGTCAACTGGAACGCGACCCTGTGCAATTCGTTCGATGTTTCCAATCGGATTCAGGATAATTGGTATATCGCAGTGAAGCCTAGTGAGTGAGAGAAGACATATCAGCGATCTTTCCCATAAGGGCAGTCTTATGTCCGATCTTCTGCGAATTGGACGCGCATTATTCAGCACTAGCCCAACTGGAGTGTCTGTAAGGTGTCTATTGGTAGAGTGGCAGGAGCGAGGCGTCGACGAAGGCCAGCCTGGATAACAACTGGAGTGATGTTGCGGATGGTTGAATTCTCGCATTTCCTCATGATCCTGACAGTGACTTCAACATGGGCCTTGGCATCCCTCCCCTGGGGCGTACAAAAGCACCTTACGATGGGTTCAACAGGAAGCGACACCGATCTATAACCAGACAATGCGATTTCAAGTACCTCCCATTGATGGATTCTGGTTGAAACCATCGTCAATCCGAGACTGAAGTTGAGATGGTTGATCCTCAACAAAACAACACATTTATATACGATTGCGCGACATCTCAGCTCGTTTACTTCGTATATCCCACCCCCAGAACAACTAATGCGTGTATCCTTATCCTCCATCTGCTGCCAAGTTGTACCAAACACAGTTAAGCAACATGCTTTCTTTTAAGCAAGACCTTAACATCGTCTCCATACCTCTCAAAGCCGACATTAAACCCTCCTCTCAGCGTAGGAACTCCAAATCTCTCCCCAGGAGCAGCCTCGACATCAAAAGTCCTCAACATCGTTGCAATCACAGAAAAGACGATATCCATTCCAAAAACGCGCCCAGGACACATATTGCCCGCAACTCCAAAAGCCCTGACTTTGCGTACAGCATTACCAGAAACTTCACCTGCTTCGTTGATGAAGCGAGAGGGTTTGAAGACAGCAGCGTCAGGACCCCAGTTGTCGACGTCTAGGTTTGATGCACACATTGGAAGCATGAAGATCTCGCCTTGAGGCACGGCAATGGGTTCTGAGCCCGGGATGTTGAGCATGAAATCGTGACGGGCGATCCTTGCTACGCCTGTCATGTGAAGACGGAGGGATTCGTACCAAGATGCCATGAGCCAGGGGCATTCAGTGCGGACGTTGGCAAAGTCCAATCGTGGCTTTTCCTGTCCTTCAACCATCTTAAGCTGTTGCACTTCCTTGAGAACGACTTGAACCAGTTCAGGATCTGTAAGGAGATGGCGTGTAAGCCAGACTGCGAGAGTGCTAGTAGTTGCAAGAAGACCCAGGGCTGTGACCATTTCGATATGGTAGTAATCTGCGTTGGTCTCCCAGTCAGGATCACTATGTGCCACGACGTTGATGCTATGAGATGTAGTCTGGACACGGGCTTCGCGGTGCTGCATGTGGAACTCGCGAAGTCTGGTCAGAAGGAACTTGCGGGAGTTCCAGGCTGAGTTTGCTGTGAGCCAGGGAAACGGCCTTCCAAGACTATCAAATGTCTCGCTGAGTTTCCTTCGATATGTTAGCATAGGTCTACATATACGATGAGTTGAGTAATGACTTACATGAATTCTTCCGAGAACTCCTGATCCATGCTCCAGGGGTTAGCAACTCCCCATACTGCACTCGCCGTAGCAGAAACCGTCAACTCAAACACCCAACGACCAACCTGAACCTCACTAACGTCAGGCATCTTGGCAACTCGATCTCTGATATTAGCGCTGGAGCGTTGATTCAAGGAAACAATATTCTCAGCATGCCCAAACTTCTGCTTATGCAGAGGCTGGGGATTATACGCAAATACAGCCTTGACAGTCTCGCTCTTGAGTCCGAAGAGACGAGGACCAACATAGACAAGAACTTGTGCAAGACCGGTATCATTGACATGGCGAGATAGAACTCGATCCATGTTTGGATGGCAGACTGTGATGCGTGCGAATGGGATGTTGATGGTGAAGATGGGGGCTGTAGTGGATGCGATGAGCTTGTTAATGTAACGGGTGCTGTCAATGGTCAGACCCATGAGGTGGCCTAGCCAGGGGACTACGCCCGATAGACGGGGGAGGTTTGAGATGGACGGGCTGCCATTGTTGAAGATTTTCTCATTGAAGGAAGTTGGGGATGAGATGTAACGAAGAAGACGGCGGGCCAGGGGTGGAAGGATGAAGGGCGTTAGGAAGAAGAGTATGAGTGTTGGTATGAAATTCAGGGAGAGTGAAGAGATGGGATCAAAAGCCGGGGCATGATAAGGCACAAAAGACATGATGAGTTGAAGTGAGAGTGAATGATTCTGGTAAATAGTGTATAATTGATGAGTGATTGTAGACAAAATGAGCTGTGATGTCTGACGAGTATCTCATTCTGGACGGTCATCCCGTCCAACTTATACAGCTTCATGATGACAGTCTCTATGAGGTCTTTCACCCTCGTCGTTACTGACTGCAAGCCTCATCACAATAACCCATTCATCACTTTCATCCCGAAACTCTTTCGGACCTCCAGATGAGAGATCCTAACCATTTGTGAAAGAAGCTGCATCTAACCATCAAGACACAATAGATCTAGTTCATCTTCGAAGCGTATATGAGACCACAATCAGTCACAAGAGAGGAGAAGATAGCACAAGTACCCAATGAGCTCCATAGAGCTCTTGTATTACAATGTTTGCTTTGTTATGAGCCTTTCTCATAACGGAAGAACCTTTTGAGATATCACATATGCAGTTTGTCGTCTACTCGGAGGGTCCTAAGAGGGTGTGCATCGTGATATCTTCACTCGGGAACCACCGTCTAGACTCCGCAATAGCTCGGAAACAACCACCAAGTAAACGAAGGTCTCGTCCATCAGCCCACTATACTACTGTTCAGATCGTGATATCATAGCTGGGATCCTGTTATAGCGCAGACAATAGGTTGGTGGCGTACTCGGTCTAAAACCGCTAATCGATGAAGCCGAGCAAAGTGCAAGCTGCAGTAGAAATGTCTCATATGGAAGGTCATGAGAAGACCTCAAGTATCACATAGTTTAAGAAGGACCGAGGAATTGGGTTTATTGACTTGATAGAGAAAGTGAACAAAACTTGTAATATCATATCACATCCAGTTCGAATAGGACAAAGAAAGACTCTAAATCGTATCATGAAGACATAGTCTATCAACGCTCACAAGCTAAAAATCATCTTGTGTAACGTTTTATGTAACTATGTTTGCTTACAGACCAGATATGTTGGTTCAAACATTCGCTTACAGAGCCTCATCATGACCTCACCCGATTGGACCACGCATCTTGCCTGTAAGTCCTTAAGATCTAGGCCAAGAGATTGTGCAAACCGCATTACATTGCATATATGAAATTTTATTTTAAGACATTTTTCACCAAAAAACGGTCAGTACTTGGATATTGTATTGCCAAGTAAGTGTTGGTGTTAGTGAGCTGTTGGTTCGACGTTGGTTCGACGTTGGTTATTACAACGTATTGTCCTGCACTAGAAACGCACAGCCCCTGGCATATTCAGCGTTGATAACAATTACTAAAACAGACTGATATGGAAATGTATATCCGTATTCTTGGTCGATCGTGACTTCGCCTATACATGTCAAGTTATGCTTAACACGACTCTGTACTAGCTAAACACCACAACCACAGCCTCAGCTCACCGTGTCAGTAATTACTAACGCTATTCAATTCGGTGGATGCCATTAAGCCATGTGGAACCCGTAAAGCAACGTATCAGAAGCATTACGATGCAGACAACTCGTCGGAGATAGTCTACCAACAGCAGTGGCGTCTCCTCAACGGCGCCATCCTTGTGTAACTAGTCCAGGTCCCCCACAGTTAAAGGAAGCCAGCCCTGTTGACGATCAAGCTATTTTCCGTATGCCTGGAACGTGGATTTCCTCTTATTGGATATGTGTTCGCCAACGCCAGATGTATTAGCGAGGTAACACGTCCAAACCGACAAGAGCGTTGTTCTGATATGTGGACCCGATCATCATCGGGGAAGCACGAGATAGCAGAGTGATGATCTAGAGAAGTAGTTTGAAGACCGAATCTTGGTATTATTCAATTATTACTTTCGGCAAGAAGATGCGGCAATGTTTGTGGTTTGTTCAGCCGAGCGGAGTCGAAGGCATACTGCCATGGGCTACAGTCAACGAATTCAAAGCAAGCAAGAGTAAACAAGTCCGTAGGATGATATCAGCATGGGCTAACTCGGATTTTGGAGACTGATATGAATTTGGTGCTGTAACAAGCCGTGCTTTTAGCAGGTAGTGTGGACGGTCCGGACTTGTTTGGCTTTCTCACAGCCGTATATCAAGATAATAAGTTGAACCAGAAATGGACCTTGTGACTCTTTTGGAGTTTCCATAGCATCAATGAAGTAGAAACTACCAGTGACTGTATATCGCCACTAAACAAAGCATCGTCAACACCTACTGCGGCGCCCTCGCGTCCGGAAGCTACCGCGGTTAATAGCCTATTGCCATCTTGATAGCCTTTTTCAGAAGCCAGACAAGTCGACCATATCTAAGCAGAAAAGCACTCTGGTCACATATTAAGTTAAGGGATGTATTGCTTTCACTTCGTGACCCTATGTCACGATATGCTATCATTTCTCATTCATCATAATCATCAAGATACATGCCCTCCCTCCACTTAATGCGTACACATCTCTGCCGAACCTCAAATCGTACGATATGACAACCTCAGAAGCTCGCAAATCTTGCAGATACAAACCAACTGAACTCAAATCATCGTATCGGAAGCGTCATACTCTTGCCGCCTCGTCCACCCCTGCCTCGACCTCCACCACGCCCAACGCCTACAAAGCCTCCCCCGGCTTCGAACTCCATTTTCCGGGCTAGGTTGTTGAGCTCCTTAATCAGACAACATGCTGCCACGACTCGAAAGCTCTCCAGGTCTTCTGTTCCACGGTGCAGAAATGGTGCATTTTCCCGTTTGATACAGGCGACAGCCACACATGCCCAACATAATTCGACAACGTCTTCCCTCCATCGAGAAGTAGCTGCATCCGCTTCAGTGGCGGTGCTCAGGGTCTCTGCCTTATCGCCCACGCCTCGGTCGCGGATTTGTTTAACAATCCACGTCATGATACGGTCGATCTCTTCTTTGAGCTTGATGGACGAGTCGTTTTGGCGACGGGTTTGGGCGCCTCTCTTGTTCAGGATGAAACCGCAAAATACTTCAACCTCTGTCAGTGGTGAACGAGGATTCTCAGAGAACTGCCACATTTTGGCCAAAATTGACGAATCATACCTACGCTCAGTTAGCACGAGAATTGATCAAACGACCTGATGCAACTTACAAGCCGCGGATCTTCCAAGCCTCTTCCGATTTGCGAGTCCAGTCAATATCGAGTTTATACTTGTCAACCTCATTTTGAACAATTGTCAATAGCTGATCCCATACCGACGGTCCAACAGTGTTGATATGGCGATGAATATCCTCGTCCCAGATCTTCTTTTCGTCAACTTGTCGGTATAGACGACCAAGGATCTTCTCGGATAGATAGTACTTGTATTTGGCGTGGGCCATGGGATCATCATCGTTATCGATCTTGTTGACTTCTCTAATGTGCGCCACCTGCCCCTTGTCGTACAACTCCAGAGGCGGTGCTGCTGCGAGGCTTCAGGGCATGTTATTCTGAGAGTCTTCAATGATGGGCTGGGTCAACTTACAAATCGGGTCGAAAACGTGTGTTTTTTGGCAAAGCTTCGAAATTGGCCGGAATTCCCGTTTTGGAAAAGTCGACCGCGGTAGAATGTAGTCCTGCCAATGTTATGCAGTCTAGGTGAGGAGTTCCCTCATCGTAATGGTCAGCCAGTATGACATGCCGGGTTGCAATTACACCCAGAATATCAGTCTTCATGAAGTTAATAAAAAAGTCGGCAATATCTTGAGCGTTTACCGGACGATCCAGAGGTTGGGGGGTAGCTCTGGGATAATCTGCTGGTGGGAAAGTTCCGTTAGGCTTTGCTTCAGAATCCCATATGACGTTGTACAGATCTCCATCCAGGTCTCCTCCACTCAGCATGCTTGGCAGGTCACGATTTCCTTTCTGACTGAAGATGACACAGTTCTGAAGACTTCGCAAGGGATGACCCTGCGGCGGTGTCACTTGTTTGACAACCTGTATATCACCAGGATGGAGCGCCGGTGATCGAGTGATTATAACCTCGCCATCTCTCAGAGTAGACTTGACGCCCCGGCCAGTTCTTCTGCCATAGCTCTTGTCGTACGTAACATAGATCTCTCCCTCGTTGAGGAACCCCGTCTCATCCATGATCCCGAAAAGCGTCACTCCATGATCAACAGGAATACGAGCCTTATGCTTTAGCAACCGCAGTTCTCGGAGAACAACATGCTCAACAGCTGCTTTGAGAAACTTGTCACGGCGATAGTCGATGCCCATTGTATCTAATTGCATGATCAACTTGGGAAGACCCATATTGACACCGATGGCATGGTGATCCAAGAAGGCGCTCGTGTTGGTAGCATCAGCCGTGACGTTCCGCAAGATGTTAAGTGCGTTGTTCTGGAGCTTGAAGAACCATTCATCTTTCGTGCCCATGTCTTCTAGAATTTTGATCATTGGGCGATTAAGGACGAGTCGCAGTGGCTTAGATGCAGAATCGCAGATACCGAGTTCCGCAATGTCTCGGCTCGGAAACTTCATCATAGATTCCCTTCGAATGCAGAACACCCTGCCCTTAAGTCTGGGGTCCAACGACAGCATCCCCTTGCAACCGCCCCATCGAATCTGGAGACATGTAGGTGCTGCAGCCTTCATAGACATATATGGCCAGATTTCCTCCAGCGCCTCTTGAGAGATCGTTCCAACTCCGTCACTGAAAACACGGGATCCATCTGCAGACTTCACATCGTGGATGAACCGGTAGGCGATATCAGTTTCAAAGATAGGCACTGCGTATGGAATTTCTGAGAAGGCTTGTCCAATGCGTGCTGCACATTTTGCCGGGACTCGAATGTCTTCAAAGTCCCCAAGAGCCTTCAGGATGGCTTCTGGGGTCTGTATTTTCAAGTCCTCATCGACGAACGGTGCTGAGAACCAAACTGAATGAGCACGAAGGGACGAATGCGAAAATCCGAGAAAATGATACTTCCGGCCCACAATTTGGATACCTTCATCCATGATACGTCGGAATCGGGAGTAGACCGGCTCTTTGTCAATCTTGGGATGAAAATTCAGGTTCTGGCCATCTTCGTCGCAAAATACGACACGAAGGAAATAGTCATTCTTGGCAGAATACTTGCGCAGCACTCTGTTTTTACTATCGGCGTCTGGTCCCACGAGAATTACGCGTGTAGGTGTGACAAGAGCTTTGAAAATCCAAATTTGCTGTGCTGACAATTTGCTCCCGTATACGCGGTCTCTCTCTGGATTCTCTTTTCGAGCTTCGTATTCGGCGTCCATGATCTCAGTCATGATACTGACCACGTCCAACTCTCTGGGCTCCGTACCAGGACAAGGGTAAGGGAGTGACTGAAAGAGCTTTTTCATCGCATCTGTTGTTACAGCAGGTGCCACCTGTTTCTCTTTGGCATCCTGTATGACTACCTCCAAGACATCGAGAAGCTTTATGCCACTGGCAGGGTTGATATAGTTATTCCAGACAAGAGCTTGAACCTGGAATAAGAGAGCGAAATGTACTCCGGAAGCGAAAAGCCTCTTAGCCTTCTCTGTAAACATTTGTCTTCCGAGGAAGTGGTTGTTCTCTGGTGGTATGGTGTTCCAGTCCACGGACGGCAAAGCATGATTAGTGATAGCAAGGGCATCCTTGTTCTTCAGCGATCCCAAGACCTCGTTAAACGAGGTGATGTCGTAGAGATAAATGCGGTAAACAAGACAAGATGAAGAGTATTCGCGAGGCAAGCCCCAAGTGGACAAGCCTTGAACTCGACTCCATCCAGGTCCGTCCGAAGACAGGCGACGTATGTACATTTTCGGTGGCTCCGTTAAGACCAATGTAAGGGACAAATCACCACGACTAGCGATAAGATCCTGAATAGTCTCGTTGTGGAAATCCATGCGGTTTCCGTACGCAACCTGAACCGTTAGCCACTGAGGCGTGAACTTTCCGGTGACACCTCTCGGAATGATCAATTTGTTGTGGTCAACAAACGTGAGAATATCATGTTCACCCCAAAAGGTATTACCACCACACCTGACGTCCGCGATATCGAAAGCTCTAGCCGGCACATGGTGATCCTTCTTGGTCGCAGAAGCAGTCTCTTTTTGCTTCTTTTCTCGTTCATATTCGAGATGCGCAATGGCATGCTTGTCCACGGGCTTCTGGCTTTGCTCGGCGAACACAGGAGTCCTAAGAATGAAAAGTCGTGGAGTATCTCTCGGTCTTGGGTTAGGTCTAAGCGGAAAGCTTGGATTCATATTCTCTTTGCCGTGTTCGTTAGGGCGTCGATGCTTCCCGTGCCTCTGAAGGAATGCAGACCCGTCCTCTACATTAAGAAACCTGATCCATGCTAGACTTTTGTCCCTAGGTTTGTCGCACCAGAAGTCTGTAATCTTCAGAACATTCATAAAAGGGAGAAGTTCTTGCTTGAAACTTTCTTCCGATAGATCCTGGGGAACATTTCGGCAAAAGATTTCCATTGTTGAGGCAGATCAGCTAAAGGGCGTGAAAGATTTATAGATTCATCCTCAGCAGGCGCTCAGAGAAGCAGATAACGCCGGAAGATACGGTGCAAGATCTGAATTTCGTCAGTATAAACGACATGTCTTGATCATTCTTGAGACTCACGTGTTTCTGCAGTCCTACTGCATATCGCGAATCGTAAATGCTGGCAACAAAAGAAGCGGTAAGTTTGAGAATCGCTTCCTGATATGGCTTGCCAAGTAGGAGGATTCCCGGCCGTGATACTTCGCTATCTATAATTAATTGGCTGTGGGTGGTCTTCATGCGGGAGGCCGACTGCTGTGAAATGATCGGGTATGTACTGTTGCGAGGAAAAGACCAGTTGACTTTCAAGAAAGACGGCGGAGGAAAAGTGCAAGTTGGGAAGAGGCAGGAGGGAGAACGGAGAACAAATAACAGCCAGCCTGTTTGAAAGGCAGTTGCGGTGCAACAGGAAGCTCAATCACTACTACCTTAGTACCTACACCTGCACTGCACTGTCACTCACAATCGCAAGGGTGTGGATTCACTGTGCATTGTGGATGATAATACTCCTAGGATTTCCTAATACTATCTTCCACAGTATTTACACTGCTGGGATTTGGTTTAATGCCGGGCTGCCAGCCCAGAGCTGCAATTGGGTCGAGACCCTTCTTACTCAAGTCGTTCGCTCCTGCCGGTAGCTGTCTCTCGGTGTGGACCCTTGATTTCGGTGACTGTTTCGGTGTGCGTCGGTGAGTGGCGGGGTAAATGTTTACACCCCAAGCCAGCCCACCTCCGTGAGCTCCCGCATTTCTGCGTTCCCGATTCTATCTGCCGAGCCGATGACTTTCACGGCCGAATCCCGCTCCACCTACCATCATGTAAATCGTTCTTCCGGAAGCCCTGAGGGTGTTTTATAACTACTGAGATACCACTCATTGAGCTTCTTGGTTCTCAATTCAAGCTACCAATTCGCATCATCAGCCATCATGTCTCCTCCCGGTTCCCTTTACGTCACGATGCAGCCCAAGCCTGGGCTGTCTCTAGACCAATTCCATGAATGGTATAACAACGAGCACGGCCCAACCCGTCTGCGCATTCCTCAGATCTTCGCCAACGGTCTTCGATATAAGGCAACTGATAGTCAGGAGCCTGAATACCTCGCCTCGTATGATGTGACGGACATGTCACTGCTCGAAACCGAGACGTACCTCACACTGCGTGCAAACCGATCTCCTCGAGAAGCCGAGACCATTGGGCAAGTCGACGTCAAGCGATATTTCTGGGACTTGGTTCACACCCACGCATCCTCGCAGTTTACGCCTTTCGAGAAGTTGTCGGACGAGCAGGCCGAAGGTCACCAGCTTACTGCCGTCACAATTGACCTGAACGACACCGAGGGAGCTGAAGAGGGCTATCAAAAGTGGTTAGTCGAGGAGCACGTCCCCATGTTGGCCAAGATCCCAGGGTGGTTGCGCTCTCGAGTCTTCAAGACTTCGTATCTTGAGGGACAGGCCAAGACCACCTTCCTTGCGCTTCATGAATATGCTAAGGAGAATGGCCAAGGTGGAGAGGCGCACAAGGCGTCCATGGATACTCCTTGGCGCACCGAAATCTTTGACAAGTTTGTCGCTTCTAAAGGACGACGAACATACTCGCTGTTCTATGTCTTTGGTCCAGCTCCCCGGGAGCTCCATTCTCTATCGAAGCTTCCATCCACAGCTGCTTTTACCTCGCCTGATTCCAGGCAGTCAACGACACCTGGGCCCAACGCTGCTATTGACTCATTTATTACAACCTCAGATTCTTTGAATATCCCCTTTCGCTTGGAGGGTAACCCCGATCCCAAGGCTCCCACTGTCGCATTCTGCAATTCGCTTTTGACTTCATTGCACATGTGGGACCCTTTTGTGGAAATCCTCAAGCGCGAGCGACCTGATCTGCGTATTCTCCGATATGATACCCGTGGCCGACATGCCGTACCTCAACCTCCTGTTGCCGCCACCATTGACCAATTAGCCGATGATCTGAAGACTGTGCTTGATGCTTTCCGTATCACAAAACTTCACACACTCATCGGTGTTTCAATGGGCGGCGTTACTACCCTAAACTTCGCCATCAAGTATCCCGAGCTGCTCCAGCAGTTCGTCGCTTGCGACTTCAACCCCACGTCAAGCGACGCAAACACACAGGCTTGGAAGGACCGCACAGCTATGGCTGAGGAAGACGGCGGTAAGGGAATTAAGAAGCTTGCTGAACAAACCGTGCAGCGCTGGTTCCACCCCTCCACCAATGCCGAGACTGTCAAGTGGATGGTTGATATGGTGGCTACCAACAATGTTGAGGGCTTCAAGTACAGCAACACAGCTCTATGGAACTACGATCTCAAGCCCAAAATGGGCGGATGCAAGGTCCGCGGTTTGTTTGTGGCCGGAGAGGAGGATGCGAAGGGTGCTCTTCCCAAGGCTATGGATGCGAGCAGAGGACTTCTCGGAGATAAGGGCGCTGAACTGAAGCTCGTTCCTCAAACCGGTCACTTGCCCATGTCTGAGAACCCTCAGGCTTTCTGGGAGGCTATTAAGGAATTCTTGTAATACAAAATAGTGGCATGAAGAACTCAGGAAATCAATAAAATATACATTTTAGACCATTAGAATTGGAGAAGTTTGCTTGCTAGGGGAAGCTACAACTTACCTACCGGACAGCTTCGTCAAGCCTTAGAACATCAAAAAGAAGTGACCGATTGATTCTATCATTTACGCTCTAAGGGCCCGGCAATCTGTCATTCTTTGCTACTTGATGCTTCATGACAACGTTTCTTTCATCCAATGAGGAGGCGCAGTGGCGGAGTGGTCTAACGCGATAGACTAGAAATCTATTCTCTTCGGAGGCGTCTGTTCGAATCAGGCCTGCGTCGTTGGTTTTTTTGTTTTTGCGGTGTTGTTGAGACAATCGTATAAGCTCTTGTCCGGCTAAAACTGATATCTCTTTTGATCTTTTTATTGTATTCATCTATAGGTTATGGGTGTTCTATTTCTTGGTAATTTTATCTTATGTTTGCACTTCGGTAGCAGAGGTATTTGCGTAATTATATCGAAGGAAACATGGTATATTTTGCCTGTGGAGTTTATACTCCATGCCAATAAACAGGTAATAACTAGGTAAGTGAAGTTCGATCCCTTAAAATCTAGCATCAGACCAGAAGCCACCCATATCCAACTGTTGACTAACTCAAAGCCATGATCAACGCCATTAAGGAAATGCTCAATCATTCGTATCATCTTTTCGGCCCCTTCCCCACATTACTTCTCCCAGATTATGCACGACGGGCCTTCCTCTCGCTGTGTCCCTTGATAACAGTAGACAAGTCGCCAACAGGAATTTGAATAGGGAAGTCGACAATAGCGAAGAGAACAGCAATGAGGATGTACCAGCCTGACATGCATGTGACGAATCCAAAAGCGCCACCAGCCTGTTGTAGAGTTAGCTGTCTATTCAAACAGTGGGAAGGGATGAGAGGCTTACCTTAAGAAGCTTCTGTGCGAGCACAGCGTTGCCGGTAAAATCCTCAGCAAGAGCCCAAAAGGCAGCAGTGATGAGAAGGAAGCAGAATGTCAAGCTGAAGAAGATCATGACGAAGACGATGTTTGTTCGGAGGGCGCAGAGGAAGAAGATGAAGGACAAGACACCCATAAAGAGCAGCCAGAATGCTATAGAGATATGAGCCATTGTCCCGTTCTATCATAGGTATTTACTTACCAAAACTAGCGTTGAAACCTTGAGTAGCAAGACCTTCAGAGGCAGATTCGGCGTCGGCGGGAGCGTAAGAGGCGTAGGCAGCAAAAGCAGGGATGAGACTGCCACCATAAGAGAACCAGAAACCGCCGAAGGAGCAGAAGACGCAGGCTGGGTAGCTGTTACCGAGGACCCATTCGAGAACACCGCCGATGATCATGAGAAGACCTCCCATAAACATGTAAACAGCGCTGGGTACCATGTTAGAGAGTTCCGTAGATAAGGGATAACAGTTGAGAGCTTACTTGGAAGCAGCACCACTGCCGCCAGCGCCTCGCCAGCCCATAAGATCACAGGTCAGAGGCGTGAAAGCGAGTAAAAAGCCAACAAGAGCACTAGAGACTTATCAGCAAGGGATTAATGTTGGACTGGGTTGGAGGTATCGTACATAGGTGTTGGGTTGGCAAAGGTCTGTCGAAGTTCGCCCTTTACCTTGTTCATAGGCGAGAGGTACAACTTCTCAAACAGCTCGGGGCTCATCTGAACACTTTGGGCTGTTCGAAACTGACTCAATGCCTCGAGACGCTGAGCCTCAGGGTCGAAGTTACCGTTGAGACCATCGTGCTTCTCGCTGAATTGCTCGCTGTGCTCGGTAGTAGCGGCCATTGTGATTTCGTCCAGGGTGATCGAGGGGATAGAACAGGAAGCTATGAGGGTATCTTGGTATAATAGAGAGAAAGTTGAGTGAGACAAGTTAGTGCTTGGTTAGATGGACATGGAACAGGGACAGACAATCAGGCCATAGCTTCTCCTATATAGTTATTCTACCTAACACATAAGCTTGGAGATTCAGAATCCTTGTCCTCCCCCAGACCAGGGGCGCGCCACCCTTTGATCCGGCGCCCATGCAACAGTTTCCCCAGGTCTTGGAGATCTCCACCACTAGGAGAAGAGGAACAACTGTAACGGTAGATGAGACTGACGAGTTTGTATTTGCGATAGACCACACTGGACTAGACTAGTCTTGAGAGGGGGACGATCAGCCGCCTGTCCGTTGCCTACCTTGGCGCCGTGCCATCCGTGCTTGCATTTAATAGTATTGGAGAATAATGGTAGACAAGCTATGCATGGCACGTCTTGTACTAACACGGGTTTCCAACGGCACATTCCACTACGACTATTCAACTTCAGCCACTTACAATAAGGCTGCCCCAGGCTGTACAGCTGCGTTGCTATGCAGACAAACCGTTGCATTCATAACCTACGTTGCGGGGGAGAGTTTGGAGTTCAGATCCCATCTCCACACGATCCCTTCGCCCGGTTGAAGAATACAGGGAGTTGTCCCTGGTCTCACCGTTATTGTTTATTATACTGGGAAAGAACGCTTGGTTGGGGATTCTCTGCAAATCAATTGCTAAACAGGTACAAGTTCAATCAAACATTTGACAAGTCAATTATTCTCCGGCCAGCCGAGTGAGGTGCTCAGACATTCGTGAGGGGAAACACACAGACAAAAGGCAAGCGAACAGATGTTTTGGCAAGCACATGACCAGGAAAAAGAAACGCCAAATCTGGGGAACAGCAGTAAACTGTCTGTATCCGTATTAAAGATCGTCGGGGCCCCGGACTTGTAGAGCTACCGTGAAGGGTGGTAGGTAGTCTATCCTACGCTACTGTTGATGTACATATGTACAAGGTCAAGCAGACCTTCGGATCCGCTGTCAAGGAGTGGATATTAGATGTACAAAGAATGAGGAGTTGAAGTTTGTGTGGTTACAACGTGGCGGGATAGCAGGTTGATGTGTTGATAATGATGCGTTCCAGTGCAGTATCTATATAGATGAGCTCCATAACGGCCGCAAGAGTAACTCTCAATGACTGTGCCTCTTTTCCAAATCACCTGCAATATACCGAACGATATAGACTGCCTCGTGTTGGTGATAATCAATTAACAAAAGTACAGTCCATGCCCTCTTTGATCACCATCAGGTCAATTCCTTTTCCCCAGCCATTGCCCCAGATTCTGTGTCTTGTCCCCAATCCAATCCCTGCATCTCCTCTAATGAGGGGAAGTCAACCATTGGAATTGAGTGTTTTGACTGCGGCTCCGAGTCTTCTAGTAGTCTGCAGCCTAAATCGCGGCTCCGCCTTTTAGACCTGCACTAAAAAGTGTCTGTGATCGGTACTTGGAGACTGGGGTCTAATCCGGGGTATGGATCAACTATAATCCGAGAAGTGAGTTTCATTGGTCAGTGAATAAATAAGAATAACCACCAACTCAAGTCGTCATTGACAATCTTTGGCCCACAAGTTTCTGGAGAAGCTTCATATTATTCAACCTCGACTCCATTGAGTCCCTCATGATGATTGACTATTGAATCGCATTTTAATTGCTTCATCGCGATTGAATGTCTTATACCTAGCTTACTTCTTCCTCGGATTGATAAGATATCGGTCTTAGCTTATTCCGGTCCTTGAAGCTCTTGCTGTTTATGGCTACCACTTACACATCTATGCTGTCATCATGAGTAGCCAATCCGTCATGACCATATCAACGACGTCACAGCCATGTTATGATTAGAGACATAGAAAATATTGAGAGCTTTAGAATTCATTCTTGTCAAGTAACAATTGTCAATTGATCCTATCACGACCTCTACTCATTGTCAAAACATCACTTAATACTACCAAAGCATCCTATAATACTATCAAAACATCACAATGGTTAAGCAAGCCTTCGGCGCCGGCCAACAGGGCTCTCTCGCAGTCCCAATCACAGCAGGTATCGCCGCCCTCGGCGCAGGAGTCTTCTACATGGGCCGCTCCAAGCCCGAAACCACCCCTGAGCAAGATCGCAAAGGCCGCGCCGAGGCCAAAAAGGCAGAAGGTCTCAGCGGCGCAGGCATTGGAGGCAATGCCGTGACAGGAGGTCACGAGCTGAGCCACGCCAACTCTCGGCGCAAGGAGAACACTACAGCGCCTCTCGAGAAGCTCCCTAGCGGCGGAGTAGGAGGCGGCGTCGGTGGAGGTGGCTCCAATGTGCGCACCTCGGTCGAGATGACGGCCAAGGAGAACCCTGGCACGTCCAGTCCCTCCAAGTCAGGTAGTGGCTTCCTAGGCGGACTCTTTGGCACTGGTGGTTCCAAGACTGATGGCGGAAAGGGACAGGAGCCTAAGGATACACGCGTTGCTAGCAACCTCGACGGCACGCCTTCCAAGAAAGACACGACGCACCACGATCAACAGCAGCCACGCGTTTCCAAGTCTGGTGGTGACGATAGCAGAAAGAGCAGCGGCGGCGGTGGCGATTCTGCTTCGCAATCACTTCAGGGTGCTTTTGGACAGGGGGGAGGCAATGTTGCTGAGAAGGGTGACCAGAGCCAAGGGTTCCGCGATCCTAGGGTTGCGAGCAATCATACTGAAACGACGACTAAGAAGGGACCTAACTAAGGAATAGGAATGAGACTTTGTACCGAGTAATCATAGCGGAGTTTGGAAATGATCAAAACGCATAGTGAGTTGCCTCTGAACAAGACGTAATTTCCATTGAGAGGTCTGAGTGTTGGTCACTACGGTGCAACAGGTCCATAGAGACTTATTGGATTTAGCCAAAGCTGCTGAGCATGTATCTAGTCGCGGAGATCAACCTCCTGTGGACACATGGACGAGTTTGTTGAGCTGAAGTTGAAGCTGATCTGCAGTACCTGGATGACCTGCATGACCAAGCTTTACCCCAGATAGCAAGCAACTCATGTACCGACAAATGATACTAGAGTCTAGATTTAGTCTAGATCTGAATGTATTGTCAAGTAAAAGGAGATCGTGTACCAGAGCTGCGGACAATAAACATTCTCACCGCCAAGTCTCCATGTCTCCGGAACTACCCCAGACTCCCATGTCCTGTTATCCGTAACCCAGACTATCCTCGTTTCGTGTTCTCGTTAATCTCCACCGTGAATCTTGCTTGTTTCATCCTCGTACTGAACGTGAAGGAAGGTCCTGTCTCGCAAGCCACCATTTCCCTGGAAACTTCTGCTCAATGCTCGGTGGATATGTCCAGAATATCAGATAAGTAGCCACTCTATTGAGAACATGACGGAACGTCGATTGCTTCGGCTGGTAGCGACGCCAGAGCTGGTAGTCAAATACTAAGAAAGCGTTTCCGAGGATGTTAAGTGACCGGAAGATGCTGCTTTGGTTAGTCTACTTGATTACACAGAAGGACCGGTGGTTTGACTTACACATTAGAAGCAATGAAAAAGACTGTTGCAACATCCGAGCGATACGGTCCTTCAGCCCTTTGTGTCATTACCGTGACAACACCGTTCAGAGGAGGCATCCAAAGTCCCAGTATACCCATCTCGAGGAGTAAAGACCAGTGATACGTCCTCAACTCAACACCCCTTGTTATATTCAGACAAAACGCCCAACAACTCATCAAGAAGTTGATCTAGAACCGTCAGTATATGACTCTTCAGATCGAGTATCGTGCACTTACAATCGTGGGTGTGATAATCATCGTCTCACCCTTATAATACCTCCAACAAAGCGCCGATGCAGCAACACTAATCGTACTCTGCGCAAACCCTCCGAGAAAGTAATAGAGCAGTATCACGCGGTACCGTCTATAACACCTCCGATGGAACTCATATTCCTTCCATGCCGCATCCTCGGTAACAGGCAACCCACAATATCGACATACACAAACCGTCGCAAGTGATCCTAGTGTATATGCGCGACCAACGAAGAATCCCCCTCTTGAAGCGACGCAATCAATACACTCGTTCGCCAAGGGATATCGCGCATCTGACTTGCTTGCTTTGATAAGACTCTCCCTCTCTGGATCGTGACGTAGACATTGGTAGCATGTAGATAGTAGCTCGACTTTTATATCAGGAAATATGAACCGTAAGAAGGATTTGTCAATGCTATATCGGAGAGCTCGACACGTGCGGCGCAGAGACTCGACTTCGCCGAATGTGAGGTTTTGGAAGATTATTGTTTGGAGTTCTGCTGGGAGACGGAGAAGGTTGTTGTTGGTGTTTGAGACAACCTCCCTGGAGTCGCCAAGTATCTTCTTCTGAGTAGGTTGAGCTGGAGTTCGTTTGTGTACGTCTTTCGGCTCTTCTCTTGTCGAGTCACTTTGTGAATATTCATCATCCATAGTCCAAATCTCGCAGCAAAACTGCAACAAAGTGTTTTCAACAACCTTAACAAGACACTGCATATTTTCAAAATGGTTGTCCTGCCTCTAAATGTCTCATGGATCATAAAAAACAAATCCGAGACATGAGGGAAACGCGTATCTTTAAGCGATGGTTCACACGTAAGATTTCTGACTCCATCGTCATCTTCCATCTTTTTTTACCCTCTGATTACCGGTTGTTTGTTCGGGAAAACCGAAATGGGCTACAGCCTGATTTGGTGTTGGTGTTGGTCGAAGCAAAACATGTCGCGTCAGCATTGGATGGCCAAGGAGCCTATCTCTATGCAGGAAGATGATACAGTCAGATCACGCGCTTACTGTCCACTCAAACTGGTCCTATGAAGCAGCTGAAAGAGATAATGTCTTGGCGTTTATCCATTCGAGTTGGTGTTGATTCGTTTAGCGCTGACTTTACTACCATGTGATGGTGTCTGAGAAGGAAGATAAACACCGAACTGCAGATCTGGAATTTGGATGGTGTTAGTTGACCTGTATTTCTTACTATAACTGACTATATAAATGGGTGTTCCGAAAAGTATTCTGCATTGATATCCTACGCTATAGTCGGTTTCGAAGCACTTCTATTGGGTTTCTGTCGTATATAAGAACCACCCTTTTTCTACAAAACCATCAAGACACCAGACATTACTTATTCTTGATAGGGCTATGTTCTCCAACACAACGTCATTCGAATCTCGACGAATCAATAATCAACCAATGTGGGTTGATGAGCTTCCTCTACACTACATAATTATCACATCTAATTGCTAGGTCGGTACATACGGTGGGATGCAGCCAAATAACATGTCAGCTTGGGTAGACTAAACAACACATCCAATCTCACTCAAGTAACGCAAAGTGAGGGGAGAATATGTGTCCATCTATACCCTCCTTATCACTCCTCTCTCATACTATATATCACCAAAGATACGCTCATTCAGCTGTCGCGTAGAGTCCCCAGCCTTGTCTAGGGTATATGTCACTGCCTGGGCGCACTCTTTAGCATGACAGTCAGGATAGAAGTGTGTTATAGGTCCAGATAATCGATGCTATGGCATTGAGAGAGATTTGTAATAAGACACGATACTGTTGGATATATCAACCGCCTGAAACCTTGGCTTGGGACAGCTTGGCCTTGAATGCCACCATTTCTCATCACCCCAACCAGATCTGCCCAGTTGCGATGAAGACAATAAAAACGGTTCGCCGCATCGCACCACCAGCATTAGGCCAGGTATATATAGACAGGTATGACAATATGAGACCCAGGAGACGACAGGGTATCTCGGTCGCATGCCATCAGTCAAGTTTCTCTCAACAGTCAGCCCTCAAAGTTATTAGACTAGAACAAGACAATCAACCTTAAACTACAAGAGAGAAGAATAAAAGAAGGTATTCTATCCTCAGTCTACTGGACTATAAGATTGGGGCCTCGACGAGTCTGCGTCTCATTAACATCAAACTTATCAACAAAACAAGGCATGGAAAGTCACATAGACCTCCACTGTTCAACTTGGCGACAACACCGGGCACTGGTCGTAGTTATCACTATTCTTACAACACCCTTCTATTAGCTGCTGGTCTAACTCATAATAGAGGCATGTGCAACTGGAGCTTTCGTACAACGAAGTGAGCTAGGAGAAGAACATATCATCTTCATCCCAATCTCTGATATCAACCCCAGATTATATTTCCGGCGTATCTTGAATCAATGATTTATAACCATCGGGTTCAAATAGTACTGTAGAATCTATATTCCAAGTTCTTCCTCAGAAATCACATTCCCTCGTCGAAATATCCCCTCGTTTCGGATTCTATGGTTATGCTGGCCAGCAGTTCCCGAGCCCAGACTCCTGTATATGCTACATAACAGACAACTGTAACACAATTAATCACCCTCATGCTAACCAAGGCTGATTACAATTGTAGCTCCCAAGTATGATATCCAGTCGAAGTCGTTAAAATACTAGCTACCCTGGATATCTTCATAAATGCACAGACATAACCCAAGTATCACAAAACAACTACCTATAGCATCAACTATAGTCAAACTATCTACCCTACATCCCAAAATAATACTGTCGGCATCTGAAATACCGTCGGCGTTTGATATTGCAAACGCCGTCGCCCAACTCTATGTTGGCCCGCTAACTTAAACGGTCTACGGCCCCTCCCTTTAGGTATGATCCTTTGGAAATTCCATCAATAGCCGCAGCTAAGAAAAAATGCTGTGGATGTCAGGTTGATAAAACCTAGGGGTCAACTCAACCTGCTTGCTCGGTTCTTCGGCACTCAAGTCTGGGCAGAGACAATTAAACAGGCCATAATTCTAAAAGCAACCTAGTGATACTCGTGGCACTCCACAACCATGTTCAAAGCGCTGTCGACAAAAGAACGTCGCTCTCGACCCATGTGCGATGACTTCCTTGGTCTTTCTTGCCTAGCTCCATTCATTTCTTCAATAATTCATTCCTTGCAAACTTATCGGATGCTTCGTAAGGCCTAACAAACAGAAATATAACCAAGGATACAGGGGAAACAAACAAACTAGAGAGAAGAAAAGACTTTGCTGGTATCAAAACAAACGAGAACCCGAGAGTCCGGAGCACTAAAAACGCCGCCATGTGAGCAAGGAACGGGAGTGGCCGAGTCCATCCCAGCCCAACCCAGCCCCCTGGGACCAATACTACGTACATCTTCAGGGGAGAGGCAAGCGGAGGACCCCCTCATAGCTCTCCGATCATTGTAGCATTCAACTGTAGCGAATCGTACCATCTACTGCGGCCTTTCATCCCTTCATTCAGCTGTACTGTAAATAGCGCAACCAGATTTACATGTACTTTGCAATGTAGCTTGACACGCCCTCTCTCTTTGGGTACAGTACCATGAAGCGATACCTAGAAGAGATCCCCGGTTTCTGCTTCGATCTAGCACCTCACTTCATCCCGCAATCTGGCATCTGCCGTCATGTTATGTCGCGCGGCATCCGAGCGTGTGGAACACGGGACAAATCCAGATCTATTCGATAGATGCCGCCATGCCATGCCATGCCATGTTTCCAACCTAATACCCTTTTTTGCGCATTGCCTAGACTAGAAAGCTGGACTTGTCTAGGCCAGGAACTCTTTCGACGAATGAGGCCTTGGCAAATAGCCGAAAAAGGCCAGACTATTCGTCAAATTTCGGCCTCTTTGCCTTTTCAGGAAGTCTAGCCCTTCGGGAGTCCCTGTTCTTCGAGCTAACGAAACGGTTCGGGTCGCTGAACGCTAGCTTCAAGGGAGCAGCAAGGACGAGGATATCTCGTATTGAACCCCTCTGACTTAAAGCTTTTCCTACTCAGTAGCTCTGATGACATGAAGAGAGCGGGATGTCGACTTAGTAAACTTGAAGTCCAGAGCATAATCTGGTCCTAGACCAGCACTCAAATTGAGCTCGGACCTTGGTCGAACATTAGGGCAGCGCGGCTTGACTGGTAGCATGCAACGTCCCCTTATCAGCCGTTCTTTAACGCTTTTTGGAATGATCGCCAGCATATGCCGCGCCAAGCTAAAGACGCCACGAACTCTATCAACGTCCACGTAACTTATCCAAGACAAGACGACGAATGCTATGCAGGAGAATGAGTTGACCATGTCCAAGTTAAACTTGAGCATGTAAAAAAAAGAAAAGAAAAAAGGTCCGAGTGTACATAAATAGGCGAACTGTCAGCTGAGGTTCCAGACGCAGGGCCAAATTGGTGGGACTTTGCCCTGTGGCCTGTGCAGAGCACCGGATGTATCATCAAAAGACAAAAGTCTTTCCTATTACCTACCTTGGAACGCGGCATTAGCCATGTGACGTTGCTAACTGTATCTGTAGCGTCAGCGAAGACAGTGTTGATGTCTTGGTCTGCATACCTCGGCTAGCAGCCGAATATCAATATTGGTCCTAGTTTGGATTGCACTGAAAGAACAGACACGCCCGACGGTCCGGTATATCAGTCACTCTGAGGGGATAATTCGGACAGCATCAAAGCGCAAGTCTAGAAAAGATGCGACATCAAGGTGACCTGTAAACTCAGGATCAGCGGACTGCATCCGGATCCCTACGCTGAGTTTGTCAGAGACCCGCTGTTCGAGGAACGGATTACTGGCGATACGAAGCACACCACCATTCTGCCTATGGTTGACAGATGATATCAGTCGACATTTGAGCGTTGAAAGTGAGGTCTGAATGCCCGGAACAAATCTCTGCAGAATCCTCAAGTTCATGAGGTCACCAGTTTAGAGGGATATTCTCCGTCAAGTAAGCTTAAACTCTCCGTAGTAAAGCAATACTCTCCGATTCTCGAAGGATTACGAAGATCAGTCTTGTGCTGCTCTATCGCCAATAGTTAGGCTTTCCCCCCCGCGATGACGCTTGCTGGGTCGCAACTTCCAACTTCCCTAACCAGAAATCGTGCGGCGGACCAGGGGGTACTATTCTACTGCCGAACTCCTTTTGCATGCTGAGATAACTTGCCCTTCCCCCCAAACGAAAACGTTTTAGGTCAGTTAGCACGTCTCGCATTCCCTTTAACTCAGCTAGCGGAGGCTCTTTCACCTCAGTGGGCATTATCGCCATGCACCACGCTGTGTGAAAGACTAATTCTGTGGAGGGGACGCCCACCTGTACCTGAGCAGGTGAAGCCGGTCCGATACCATCGTGCACTTGGTGGTGCAGAACAAGTTTTCTATAGTCACGAAGGACAGGGTCCTTGCCATCCCTGGGGCCTATCCAAACTCGGATGCTGGTTGACTTTCCATCCATCCATATGCTAACATCCAAGTGGCTCGTTTCGAGCTGGTTCAGGTCGTTTTGGGAAGACAAGGGCCCCCTTAAACCTGAGTTATAGATTGAATTTGCGGGTGAGGCGGGATGCGGGCGTGCCTGCTTAGACTCATTGTCAAAGAAGCTGAACCCCGTGTCTCCAGAGTTTAGTAGTGCTTCAGCGTCAACGTCCTCCACGATGTATGAATCTTCTTCGTACGGGTCAGGCTCAAATTCTAGCCGGAGGTGACGGAGCCCAGCCAAGGGCCTGGGACCCCGCCGCGATGATATATTGGAAATCGCACGTTCTTGAGTGGCCAGCAGCTTCAAGAAAGATATCAGGCCACTGATCAACGGGCCACTTGAGCGTCGTGGAATACATGTAAGGGTTAGAGATTCTATCCGTGGGTTCATATCAGGAACGAAAGCCTCATGGAACATCTTCTTAGCCCGGGGCAGTATTGAATTCTCGCAAATGTATAATCGAGCCATAGCTGACAGTCCGTCAGTCTCCAGGGTAGGGATTTGAGTTACGACAGAATGATGCAATTTCAACACCCTGAGGTTGGATGAAAGCAAGGGTCGTAGGGTCCATGCGGAATAAAAGCCGTGAAGTTTTACCATCTTCGGCCATGCCGCGGCGACTGCCTTTGATGGAGGAAAAAGCAACATTGAGTTGCAGGTGAACTGCTGCAGATGTCCACGGCAAAGTTTCAACAGCTTCTCAACTCCAAAGGACGAGACTTGATTACCAGACAGGTTCAGATGCGTCAACCCTTGAGAAGACTGGAAGTTAGATGGTAGGAGATAGGGGTCTTCGCCACGAAGACCCCGGTACACGGCGTCTGCCGAGTCACATTTGATGCGGCTTCTTCCATCCAGTCTTTTGTACATATATTCTTGTGGCATTGTATCATGAAGATCATATGACGGCGCATCTGCTAGGTGTCGATTTGGATGGGTGAAGGAGCCACTCCACTCAGACTCAATGATGCGAATGGGGGTTCCGCAAGTAGGGGATGCGCTTCCGAATTCCAGCTTACCCTCAACGTCGAAGTTGGCATCCGACCGTAAATCGGTTGACCACAAGCAGTGAGCCCCTACATGATCAAGGGCTTGATCTGTTAGTTTGTTGTCCGTGAAGTCTAAGCTCCAGAGACGAGTGACAAAGTGACTGGCTAAACTCTTGACCATCGCATCATCAACCTCCTTGCCTTGTAGCTTGAGTATGCGGAGCTCTGGTAGAGCTCCGATTTGAAAAAGGGGGCGAACAGAACTCGGGACGCGAGAAAGGTCTAGATACACCAGCCCTCGATGAGAGGAGATAAACCTGGCAGGTAATGAGAGGGGACAATTCGCCATACTCAATAACTGGATCTGCTGGCCAGCTTCGGGTAGGAACTCGGAAGGGTCGAGCTCCACGTGGCCATCTATGAGAACACAGTTCAAATTGGGCAAGTATTTGATAGCATTTCTCAACCTGGCATTGAAGCTATTGCTCATGCTGAGAGAGTAAGTACCCCTGATAGAGCGAAGGTCCAATACTCGAACAAGACTTGCTGTTTCGGGTCGTGTCCAGCTCAGCTGGCCCAAGACGGACCCAACTAGCCAGTCGAGATCTGGTAAGAATCATCAGCATATGATTGAGAAAAGGAGGCTACTGTGACTTGTCGCACTGGTCAGTTGGCGCGGGCTTACCATATTCTGAATCACTGTCAGTAACTCTGTCTGAGGTCGTGCTTGGAAGACGTCCCCATATCCGTGGGGCGAATATCTCCCAGAAATGACGGTTTACCCGGCATAATGCAGCAAAGTCTCTTGGGTCGATATATGGAACCACAAGACGGGCCCAGTCTGTGGTCACAGCGTCTTGGTAGGATGGAAGCGAAGCCATCACGACCCAGTGTACCTGCCTACACTGGCATTGGAGCAAGGTAGGACAGGAAAGGCAAGTTCGGCGAACGTGGTGGAAGGGTAGTACCGGAATGGCATAGACTCGAATATGATTAGAGAAGAGTCGTCGAAATCAGAGACCAGAAGGCTGATGAAACTCCGTTCCTCAGCTGATGATGTGAGAGGAAAGGTGGAGACGAATTGAGGATGGTCGGAAGAACGCCGCTGGCTTAGTTATTGCCATTGGCTGACGGTTGCTGCACCCGCACAGGCCTCCTCTGTCCATTGTGGGCGATGGTTACAGCAGGCACAAGCCACTGGAAAACGGGTGCCAAGATCGGAAGCTACGAGAGATACAGGGGTAGAACAGCCACCGAAACACTGTGTGATCGGATAGAGGCTATACTGTGCTGAGCTCAGACGTACAGTGTTGATACTTGTACACCTTATTCTAAGGCTCTTAGCAGATCTAGTCTAGTCGTTGGGGTTAGTTCAGGTTCATGGCGGAATATGACAAGCTGTCAAGTCATTATCGTTGCAGTTAAATTTAACGCTGTGAGTTTGACAGTTCTACAGCATAACTCGGCAGTTGATAATTAGTAGGCAGGAGAGCTATCATTCTCACATTTCTTACTTACCTACCTTATTGCAGTGTCCCCAAGATCCAGGTTCAGGTTCAGATCATCTCCACAGTAATGGATGGAGCCATTCGTGGTACGGATACAGTATCCGTTAATAATGCAGGTAATGTCCCTGTCTCTCATGTCCAAAACCCAACCAATTCCACGCATTCTTTCCCCACGATCTATCACATTTTGTTAAGAAAGCGATACACCCACGAGATACACTACACGACGGAATCCGTATCCTGGCACCCGTCTGCTCAAAGAGGCAGTGATTAATTAGCTAATAGTCATGCATATGCAATGCAATGCAATGTGCTTCTGCACAGAATCGACTCTACTGTACTCTGCGGATACCAAAGCAAGACCACCCCCCCCCTCGTAATGTCAAGACCACTCCGCTGGGCTTTCTACAAGGCATTTGCACCACGGTAATCCCCGTTTATCTTATGCGGTTAGTAGGTATTTCCTTTTTTCATCTTCTCTTTCTGTACCTCCGCCTTGGTTGGCGTCATTGAACACTATCACAACTCATTATACACATAGCTGCAGGTCCAGGTATTCTGCATTCCTGGGACGACCGCAGAAGAAGAAAAGATGAAATATGATTGACCATGGCCTTGGATCATGCGGCCACCTGCTCTATATTTTTGTTGAGTTAATCCTGTTTTTCCGGCAGCTCTGCAGCTCGGAACTAAAAGAACCCGGCGTAGATCAGTTCAACATACTACATATCATATCCCCAGAAACTGGGAGAATGCGAACAATTTCGGACTTGTCAACTTGAGTATTGGGCCGACCATCGGATCTACATCATATCATATCATTCTATCCGGCTCCCCAGCTCTCTGACGTTCCTACACTCGGATGGTAACTTACAAAAACGAATTCCAATCTAATTCTGCCACAACTGCATAGAATATTCCCTCATACCGAGTAGCATAGCGAAAAGTAAATCTCCCACACTGTTTTCACCAAAAAAGGCATGTTTGCTCAATAACCTGACAGTCCGCTCAAACTCTGTTTAACCAAGTGCCGGGCACACAGACTGGTTGGAATCCGGTTGTGCGGGCGCACCAAGATAGGAAGAGAAAGAGAAAGAAGGGTAAAACGCCAAAAAGAGGGTAGAGAAACTCCCCCCGCTCCGCGCAGAAAGTTGAAGCCATTCCCGGAACTCAATAGCCCTCACTAACTGGGCCACCTGGCTAGCCTCCGCGCCGGCGTTGTTTTCACCCAGCTAAGTTCACTAGGCAGGGGTCTTTTTCTCTTTTTCCTTATTTCCGGCCGGCTAACAACAAGGTTCTTGACAGGCAGGTTCTAGTCTAAGCTAGCACAAGGTGACTCAATCATTGCGTCTCTTATGCTCTCAGCAGCCAGTGCTTCTGACACCCTGACGACAGGTGACCTATAACTCAGATTACAATGCATGCATTGTTTCCTGGCAAGTCATCACGAGGACAGTTTGACAGAGATGAGATGTGAGTACCTGGTCTGAGAGTGATATTCAGAGTATGTTACATGTCAACTTCTCCTATCTGTTCAGGAGGCCGGGCTGAATGACAATATCGGCATGTCTGAATTCCCTCGGGCGGAAATCGCAATGGACAAATATCCCATTATTCTGAAAAGGCAAAGCTTGAGTTCAAAATGTGCAAAAGAGGCGTTGCCAAGTACGAGCGGGTGATGTTGTGTCAGGTTCTAGTAAACTCTTAAACCCTCTCTGATCTGGTGTTACATACGAAGTCTCATCTCAGCTCATTCCATAAGAATGAATACTTATTGGATGTTCACGGTACCTGCCGGACGCCCAGTCTCACCCACATGGCAGTGTACAGTATAGTATCTATGTACATACATAGAGTTGTGAAAAGGGTAAATAAGGGGCTGTGCAACACGCTGGAAACCTTATCCGATGCTGCAAAACACGAAAAGAGCAAAAACAGGGTCCAAGGGTTTTGTGTCAGCCTCTATCTCAGCCATGGCTCTCAGGGCAGCCAACGATATGCTTATGCGATGGTTGATATGAATCATAACATGAGCTATTATGCACTATACTAGACTATGCGAGTGACCCTTAAACGGCCCAACTAAACCCAAGTCTCAACCCAACACAGCAGAGCACTGGAAGATCCCTATATTGTGGACATAACTTACGTGTTAGAGCCAAAGCTGAGTTGTTCAGCCTCATACAGGGTCGGCAGGCAAAACGCCATTTAATGGGGAAAAATATCATATCATATCATGTTGAGTCCTTGTCCTTCGAAAATCAATTCCATTGTCTTTCTCCAGTTTCTATCTACTGTACCTCCTTACGTATTTCATCACAAACTAGTGTTCCTGTTCCTCCAAGAGAGGAAGGCTTCCAAGCCGCTACGATGAAACGGGTTGCATACCTCTCCCTGTGGCCCTACTTCATTAGGTCTTATGCTCCTAATTCATTTTATGTAACGGCACTATTTATGCAGGATCGTATTTCCGTACATCCCCATACCCCTGGATAAACAACCTAAATATTTAGTATGCTCGTTGGCTTTCCTCAACGGGCAGTATGGAGCTGGCCTGAAGTTTCCTCTCCACTACGGGCCGCGAAGCCGGCGCATCTCTAGTCCCAAGAGGAACTTCTCCTCCCAATTCGGATCATCATCAAAGGTACTTCCGTGTAATTATCTCACTCAGGAGTGGTTTAGTCATTAACTGAAGCTCCGCTGGGCATCGTATTCAATAAATTGGTGGTGACATAGGTACAGATCAGCATTCCTCAAGCAGGAGGCAAAGACCGTTGACATTCCCCTCCATCTCATTTCCCTCGCGATTTGCAAATCAGAAACCGTTTGACATGTGTCTTTTCTGTGCTGCCGCAGTTTAGATCAATCTTAATGTTGAGACACGCACGCCCAATGGCGCTTTGTCTCCGGGCCTGTTGCCGCCAATCGTATCTTTCCAAGAGTTCAGCCACATCCGTTTGAGCCTCTTCTCCGCTCCGTCCTGTCAAATATCACATCCGAAGGCCATCGGGGCGCCGAAAGACGGAGTACGTACTCAGCCCCAGTTGGGGCTGGAAGGAATTGCTGGGATTTTGTCCCAGCAGTGTGGGCGAGGGTGGATGGGATGTTATGCTGAATCTCAATCTCTTTTGCAGAAGCAACTGCAGCGTCAGCGCTGGTTCTAGTCCTAGTCCTGGTCATGGTCCTGATCCTGATCCTGATCCTGGCCCTGGCCCTGGCCCTGGCCCTGG